CAACCACTTGATGGAAGCAATGACTGGCAGCTACCAGGTCTTAGAAATAACAGTAGCCTAAGCTAATAGCTAAATCCAAGTGCCAGTATTAATGCAACAAGCCTCCACACCACACCCGGAAGCAAGCAAATAAGTCACTACACTGCTTAATAAACCAATAAAATGGATAGTATAGAGGAGGACAAGAACACCTGTAACTGTTGTAGAGCCTGATTAACACTGCCTGGTTATCTGGCTGAGTGCTGAATGAGCCAGCTGTGCTCTTGGGTGTGCCAGGACAGCCACACAACATCTAAGTGTGTGAAGAGGACTTTTGATTTACATTAAAAAACTAGAGTCTACTAAATAGATATCGTTTAAAGCACTTCAGCACAGTACCTTTAATGCTTACAGCATGCTCTAGTTGCTATAATAAAATATCATGGTCCACAACACTGAATGTGTGCTTTAGAGCAGGTAACGCTATAACATTACCTGCTGTTCACCATTCGTGGCCTCCCTGTTTGGTGGATTTTTTGTGTGCAATTTTGCATGTTTTTTTTTAAACAGCGCATAGTGTTCTGCTTCCTCATTGGCTGTAGACCACTGTCAATCAGTCTCGTGCCGTGTCTCCTGTACAGTACAGAATGCATTCAGCTTGTCAAATTCCCATAAATCTTCGATCACTGCAGTGTGACTCTGAAGTGTTGTACTGTAGGTTTGTAAGTTTTCTCCCCAACAAACAACAATGTCAACAAAACGTTTTGCAGTCAAAGGAACCTGTGGTAGCACCCAAAAGGCAGAGGAAGATGCTAACCATTGCACAAAAAGTTGCTAAAGAAAGGCAGAAGTTACCGTATTTTTCAGATTATAAAGCTCGCCGGATTATAAGGCGCATTAAGCGAAACAAAACAGTCAGATAAGTTAAACTTTACTCAGCTCATTCTTCTTGCTTCCTCTACTTCATACGATTTATTCATAAACGTTGAATTCTCTTGCAGCTCTATTCTCATGTTCAGGACCTGAAAACAGGGTTTGATCTTTGGTTTCATTCTATAATACTGGACTTATTTTTCTACGATGTTTTGAACTTTGAGAGTGTTTAAAAGTGTGAAAATATTCATGCCTGTCTGAGAAAAGTGTATAAAGCATGCAGTGAGGGGTATTACAGCCTTATAACATCTATAATAATTATAAAATATAAAGCCTGCTACCATGTATGTATACCACAATACATGTGGTTTAAAAGAGCAAAGATGGTAAAATCCCAGAGCTCAGGCATTCGAAACAAGACCTCACAAACCATTTATCTTGCAAATGGTTCGCACCAATCTCAGCAGGTTACCACAGGAACCAAAGACCAGGTACAGTCAAGAACAGAGGTGAGAATATTCACTCACACATTTTGAAATATTTTTTCATATATTCTTTGGGATCTCATGTAATATTGGTACCAAACCATTATCACAGGGCTACTGGATTTCAGTGCAGATTATAAACCATCCCACACACATACTTGTAGTCTGTAACCCAACCCTGCCACATGCAGATAAACGCTGTGTGTCTCCAGACTTGCAGTGTTGGTCTTAGTCACTGCCTATTACAACAGTGAACATCCAGGGTTTGGGCATTGAAACGGGGGTGGAGTACAAATACCTGGGTGTTCACCTCAATAACAAACTGCATTGGTCCACAAACACAAATGCACTCCACAAAAAGGGTCTAAGCCATCTCCACCTGAGCCTGAACGAGTGCTGAGCAGCTCGTTCAGCAGTAGACTTTTACACCCACAGTGTAGGAAGGAGCGCTACCGCAGGTCATTCTCACCAGCAGCTGTTAGATTAAAGAACACAGTTTAGTTCTGTACAAACTAATTTCAGTTGCTTAAGTATATAGGACTACTTTGTGTCTATATTCCTCTTGCTATAAGAGCTATCTAACATCAAAATGTCTAATTTGTGATAATAAAGGTTTATTCTATTCTATTCTGAACTATTCTAATAAATCTCACTTTCAAATATCTCACTCAGATTCACAACCATCCTGAGTTAAACTGAGATGCATGACAAACACAATGAGACGCATGTGTTTCCTGTTTCTGCTCGTCACCTCAAACAAAACATCTTCAGTCATAACCACAGTCAGTCAGACAGACACCAGTGGAAAGAAAACCCCCGAAGTGGAACTGTGGTCTTTTTAAACTTTTGCATAAAGGCACCAACATCAGCTTTTGTAGCATTCGCTTTACAACCATAATTAATACTTTATGACTGAAATGTGCTGCAAAAAGGTTGAGGTGATATCGCTGTTTCAGGCCATGCATAAATCACAGGTGGTAATGCCCAGGTTGATGAAATAATCAACAAAGCACAAACGATGGGCTTTCCAATTCTACAGGTATTAATTCTTGACATACTTTGATAAAATACTTGCCATAGTTTGGCACCATGGTGCAAACCTGTTGCTATTTTCAGGAAGCTAGATGTGTGAGTGTGGGTGGAAGACATCTAAAGAGAAAAGCGTTACTGGACAGTAATGGCACGAGTAGCAATTTGTCCAGATGGCCACAAGAAAGAAAGTCATTCAAGACTTGTAGGCACAAAGAAAGTTTGGATTTATTTAAATGTTTAATGTAAGTTGTTTGTGTTTTCTGCATTCATTTAACCTCAGGTTTATTTGCAACCAAGTGAAAGCATGTGTAATGGACATAGTTACCATGACATCATCACTGAGGTAGAGCAGAAACATGCAAGTCCCTGTTAAGTCCATGCATGAAGCCTCGAGCTATATTTACATCACCATCTTGGTATTTTTAACCCACGTGAGGTTGGTTAGGGTGGATCTTACTATCGAAGTGAGAAAACTGTAGTCCAGAGGGGAAGCTTCAAAGTGTTCAGCGACAGTTCTGTGTATCCAATCATATATTGTGTAACAAGACTCTGTTAACAAACAGCTTGGTTCATTTAATTGTACAAAATGAAAAATGTCTCCACATGTCCACCTATCCTGGATCATGTGACAGAGCCAGTGCGAGCTGACTGTGTTGAGAGAAGGAGGAACTAAATCACAAACAAAAAGCGAGCCTTTTATTGTGGCGGAACATGAATACAAAAATAAAGCAAGAAGGCAAACAGGGGTAAAACTAAACTGGAAGAACTAAACTATGATAACTGACATGAACATGATTATGAGCAGGAGCATGATGGACGCTACAGGACAAAACAAGACTTGAAATACGAACATGTCCCAAACAGAATCATGAGAAAATACTAGAACCTGACGTGACTTGAAGGAAGGCAAAAAGACAACCTGATAACCATCTGCTGCTGCATTCTGGGGTGGGTTCAAGAGAGCCAACTAATGTAATCTCCCACCCAATCACATGGCCAGAACAGCATGCCCAGGAGGCATCCCTATTAGATGCCCGATGATCATTGTGCCAACTTTAACAGTGAAATTGGTTCCCTGGGGCCTCCACCATCAACTGCTGCCCAGCAGGGGCACTGTGGTCTGACTCAAGTGGACTTTAGAAGAACTGCACTTTTTGAAACTTATGATTTTTCATTACTTGTTGTTACACATGGTTTGAAACTATGAGTAATAAGTGATGACCCCCCCCCCCCACACACACACACACAGACACACACATGGAACAAGTGTACAGTTTGTCCATGCAGTTGGCTTTTGCCTGTTTGTACTGTGCCGTGTCAAAACAAGCGCTGACCTTTCAAAAATGCAGGGAGAGGATGTGTGTTGTGTCTTATTTTCCCGTGTTCGCTCTGTTCACAAACACATTAACATAGTATAATAGGAAAAAGCTCATCTATGACAAAAATGCTTTGATTGGAATTAAACATGTTAATGAATACCAGAGGTATGAAAGGTAAAGGTTAAAATGTCTTATGTTCTTTTTGGTTTGCACATCCTCCCCCCCCCCCAACAGCATGTGGTTTTTTAACAGGATGTTGTCGCCACTTTTGCTGCAAAACGGTCAGTGAAACTGCAGCGTGCAGACGCTATGAAGACAGTTTTGCTTCTGCTCTGTAAGTACTGAACAACAAACCCAAAACTTTTTCATCACAAACAGCATACTATATATACTATACTGTAGCTTAAGAACCACAGAGATGTTTTTGGATTTTTGCTACATGTATTTTGATCTCTGTGTTTACATGCCACACTGAGTTACGTAATTGTGATACTTTGTTATGTTTTATCCGATGTTGCTTAGCACTTTTTTTTATTTTTGTTTTTACGTTTATTTAAGTGTTTGTCTAATAGTATATTTCGCACAAAGCACTGCAGCAATTTCCTGTTGTAAATCTGCTCAACATTTGGCAATAAACCCTTTTCTGATTCTGAAAGTTAAATAACGACTGAGCTTCACCCTTAACTTTGTGTCAAATATAAGTGACACAAATACATAAACTCAAATGTTTGGGAGTTTTCAGAAGCACTCACACACTGTGTGGTTTGACTTTCATTTCAGTGTTGAGCATCTGCCGGACGTCAGCCCACAGTCGTGGTAAGGTTCAGCCCTGTGTGTGTGTGCGTATGCTAGTGTGAATGTAATGCTAGTAAAAAAAATGTGAGCGTTATATTCACCTATACTTTGGAAACACTAGGTTTATAGATGTGAACTCTTCACAGTAAAGTAATTATGGAGTGAATATGTTAGGAAGTTACTGGAAGCTTTCTTCTTTTTAAAAATCCCAAATCTGCTCTTCTGCTTCTTCCAACGGTCTCTGCTCGTCTACTCACGAGGCCAAAGAAAAA